TTCATCTTCCCCGCTATCGCTTGCGTCTGAGCTCGGCTGTGAGCGTTTCCTGCTGCGAAGATCAGATTGAGTGTGCTCTGCTTGAGTCTCCGCACTGGTTGCAGGACCGGTATCAGTTGCTGGCGTTGCGTTCTCGCCATTCAGCTGGCTCAGAGTTTCCTGCGTCTCCGGATCGCGAATGTCCAACTTGTCAATATTCTGAATGTCGGCACTTATCACGATTTTCTTAGTTCGAGGGATGAGAAGCTTGTACCCCTTCTTAGTCTCGTTGATTCCAATGATCAGAGCTTTTTCCGCACGTCGTTTCACTGATGCCGCTTTCTTGTGGGAGATGTGCGTTGTGCACGTGGATCCAAACTTCAAAATGTGGTTCACCTTTGGCGGCTTCCCTGTCAGCACGTCAATTGGCGCTCTGTAATCCGAGTTTGCTCTTGTTGGCAGGCGATTTCGGATGTATGAGGCATACTTAACAGCATCTCCCCAGTAGCGATCAGGGAGAGTAGATGCCCAGAGCATGGCACGTGCTGCGTCCATCAGAGTTCGATGCATCCTCTCTACCTTTCCATTCGAGGCGGAAGTGTTCGGAAGCGTGAGTTGTTGTTTAATGCCGTGCCGCTTGAAGAACGCAACGAGTTCTCTCCCTTGAAACTCTCCACCTCCATCGGCGCGCACAACTTTCACCTTCACGTCGAACTGCCGTTCAAATTCTGCAATGAATGCAATAAGCTTGTCAGCAGCCTCATCCTTGGACTGTAGTAAGTACACCTTATTGTAGCTCGAGCCATAGTCCACAATTGTCAATAGATGCTTGTTTCCATTTCGGTCGGGCGTAATGTCGGTCTTTAGATCCACACCGAGAACTGCACCGATCTCGTCAGTTGGTGCCGACGTGGAGGTGTCAATCGTGGGCTGTGCTGACTTGGTCTGTTTGGCCTCCGCACAGGGCAAGCAAAAGCGTAGCTTCTTCGAGGTCACGTCCATTTTATCAGTCAGCTTGCTGTTGTACATTCGCAGAAGGTCCTGAAAGTTCACGTGTCCTAACCTCTCGTGCCAGTGCTGGAGTGTCGACGTGGATACCTCTGCAAGCAGAGCTGTTCCGTCTTCATGAGTAGCGACCGTATCGCCGTTGAGGACCCACAAATTTCCGTCGCGCTCTGCTGTAGCCACGATATTTCCCCGGCGATTGGTTAATTGACACTGCGTCTTGTTGAACGTACATGTAATGCCATGCTCACCGAGCTCAGTCACTGAAAGAAGGTTTCTCTCTAGCCCAGGCACGAAGTGAACTTCATGTAGCAGCACAACGCGAGAGGTGTTTCCTGTCCCGGTGTGAATTACGCAACTACCCTTCAGACTTCCACATAGTGTCCCTCCGTTTGCGACAGTGATTGACAGGTTTGAAGGCGAGGTTCCAAAGAGAATATCGCTTCTAGCGCACATATGATGTGATGCTCCGGAGTCGACAAGCCAACTAACCATCTTATGCGACTCTGTAGCGCTCGTAGCGGCTGCCATCCACACTTCAGCGACTCCATCACTATCGTCGTCTGTGCGGGTCTCTCGCACGATTGCTTGATGTGCGGATCCTTGCTGAGAAGCTTTCTTAGGTGCCGGACAACTTGCCTCCTTGTGACCAGACTCACCACAGTTCCAGCATTTAGTGGCTGGCCGTGTTGAATTTGCTTGTCCGTTTGCATTTTTCTTCTGACCACCGGTTTGTTGCTTGTTCTTTTGATTGCCATGTTGGTGCTGCTGTTGGTTGTTCCTAGCTTGCTTCTTATTCGAGCCGCTGTCATCGCGAGCGTTTTGTT